GAGAAAGAGGGCATGGTCGAGCTTATTTTAATCTGAAATTATTTATGCATATGTATTGCTACTGTCGCTCTTCACTGCATAAAAGATCGCGTAGATGGTCATTGTTAAGGCGGGTTCTCACATACAGCGAAGCGCTGATGTAACGCTGCTCACCTGCCGTCAGGTACTTATCTTATGCCATGAGCAACAGTTTCGACGGTGCGATACGAAGCTGGTGAACGCTCCCGTCGGCACGCTGCATGCGTGAACAGGCTTTTAGAAACTCGTTGTCAGAAGGCACTACTCGCCACATGCTCGGTGGCTCGAAAGTTCAAAGCTACGCCATTTCGACCTAAATAACTGTGCCATTAGTAAAAAATATTCAATAAATAAACATAACAATAAATGCAAAAATAAAAAGCTGGAAGAAAAAAAAAACTATCAAGAACCCGGCCGGAAGTGTTGTATTCCTGGATATTCAGAGGCCCAGAACTATGAAACAAGTTTCTCCTACCAAAATGTGTACAGGCCAAAAGAAACACGTCCAGAAAACGTAAAATGTGTAAAAAAAAATTATGACGCGCTGAACTTGAACAATTTTAGAAATTTTCCCCCATGAGTTAATTTATTCCTCAGCGTGAAAAAAAAACAATAAATACATTATTTTGTATTCTGCAGATGGTAGTGATATGTACTGTCTCTGGTGTTATTTGAGATGCGATACCCCAAACAATGTAGGCGAAAAAATTACCAAGTTTAGGGCATAATTGTCCGTAGGTACACGTTTGAATATTTATTATAAAGTCGTCTTGAACAAAAATAATTGGATATTAAGACGACACTTACTTAGGCGTTATATGGATAATTCTTAAAAAGTTTAACATCTCTACCATAAATAGCTTCGGCTATAGCGCGCTTCAAATATGGCACAAACGACAATTGTCAAACACCCGTCGTCCTTCCTTGCTCCTTCGTGAATCTATTTTTCTAAAACCAAGCAAGCCAGATGATTGAAATAAACGGCATTGTCTTTCGCAAGGAATGCGGCACCCCATGTAAAATTGCGAAAAAAAAAATTACTAATGTACCTCACTGCTTGAATCCAAATGAAACCGCCCGCCGGTCTTTCGAAGTTTGACAAACTTCGAACTTTTACCCTAAAAGTTCGAAGTTCGTCAAACTTTTGACTATTCAGGAATCGAGAGTTCGCCAATTTTCGAATTCTTTAGATTAATAAGATCGAAGTTTCGAAAATTATCGAATTTATTAGCTCAGAAAGTTCGAAAGTTCGAAAAGCTTCGAACTTTTCAGTGCTAGAAGTTCGAAAGTTCAAAAATCATCGAATTTTTAAGTCTATCAAGTTCGAAAGTTCGACAAGCATGGTATTTTGCAGCGTAATAAGTTCGAAAATTCGAAAAGCGTCGAACTTGTTAGTTTAATAAGTTCGAAAATTGGACTTCCGTCAAATTTCTCGATATGGAAAGTTCGAAATTCCGAAATATTTCGAACCTTTCGTACCGATTAATTCCGTCATCGAAACTTCGATCCGAAAAAAGTTTGCGGCATCCCTATTTCTGACTCGTCGCTGAAGGGTGGAGCTGTTATCGTATTTAGTTTGGTCTCGGTGGACGCCAGCGGTCCAGGTTCCAAGGGTGAGTTTCCCAACTGAGTGCTCTATGACGTTAATGTAAACCAAATCAGAGAAGAAAAAAAAAACTGACTGATTTTTTTAATGAGCTTTATTTGCAACATATTTCGCGTTCTGATTTGCTCGCAATGGGACGTTACGTAACTGACAAACGAGGTGCAAGGGAAAACGAGAGGTCAAGGTTCCGATTTTTTTCGAAATAGCGCACTGCCTCTTGATCGTGCTCAACCTAACATAACTCTTCCTTGCTTGACGATCTTCTGATTTAAAAGCAAAACAAAGGCGATTAAAAAGCATCGAATGATAGACAAACGGTAAATAGAAAAATATTTGTGGGGTTATTTTGGCGGGCAATGTTTTATTTATATCTTTACAGTAATTTGGTCTGATTTAAATCAGGATTAAAATTATACTGATTTTTGTTCTCCAGCCTGGTTTTAAGAATCTATGGTGCACATTTTGTTACGGACAGGATTAAACTAGCATAAAGGTATTTCTGTTGTTCTGCCTCTCGGGTTGCTCTTAAGTGAGCTTATCTTTGAGAAAACAGTTAAACAGTTGCGTTAAAAACCGAACAGGTTGTGGGTAACCTTCGCTCTTCAAAGTTCACCTGGACGATGCTTAGTGGCCCGTGCGTCTCTTGTTCCTTATAGCCGGAGCCAGCGTAGGAATGCAGTAGGAGCTTTGCTTCGAGTGCGAGCTTTCTGCTATGATAACGCTTCGTTGCACTGGCAGTAAAGACCTGGCAGTAGCCAAATATTGTGCTCCAGGCGGAGCTTCTAGTGAGTATTTAAAAAGCTAAAAGCGCAAGACAAGACGAGGAAGAAGAAAACTAACACAACACAGACAGGCGCTACTCGCCGGTGACAGCTTACGAACGCTAGTGAGTTCTTAACCCTTTACTGACGAAATCATTTTGACAGAATGCACAATCTCCGGGGATTTCATTTGATGTCGCCACAAAGGCACACCAATTTCACTCGCCGGTAGTAATATGTGCAGTGGCTTTTGGTGTGAAGATACCGCAGATATTATTTGGGTTCTAGAATTTCGTTCTATACCTTACTATGTTAACTAAAATAAAGTTACTATGTATCAATAGCAAGTTAACAGGCAGGTGCCTTGGGCCCACTCTTCTAGCGGTCCTTCGCAAAATGAAGTCATAATTTTGTTTTGTTTTTGTCCGTTTAAACTTGTTTGGGGAGTGCTACTTTTCGCCCTTAACATAGTGTTTCATTTGGGTGCATTTGCACGCTGCCATCCTCATAGCTCAAACATGATTACGCGGAGGATTTAGTATTGATTGTCCGTTTTGCCTAATACAAATATCTAATAAAATTGGACAAATCATTACGTTTTAGTCAGTGCTCCAGCACGTGCTCCCGCTGCTTCGACTGCTTCGGCACAGAAAGGTGTCCCTGAGTAGAGCTGCACTCGAAGGGATTGACACACGCAAGGTTCATTGCTTTTTATTGCTTTAAAGAAGATAACAGCAGTCGCAGCTTACCCGCAAGCCGTTGAGCGTTGGCTGTTGTGCGCGAGCACGATTTCCAGCCGAACGACGACGCACCACCACTTGCTTTTAATCAGTGCGTCGGCGTTCGGCTGGGGTTCGTTTAATATAGACAATCCAGCACTTCACCCTTTTAATATGCGAGGCGTTGACACAGACTTGTACGGTACTCAATAACAAGTAACCAAATTACGTGTGACCGATTACATTTTGAAGCTTGCTACCGAGGTGTCGTCCAACCAAACCCCTGACATAAGAATAGTTTACCCGAATTCGGGGTTTAGGACGTAGATCTTAATTCGATGATTATAATGCAATGTGAACAGTACAAACGACCCATATCAAAATCGGCAAAAACAATGTCGAACGGTTGGTTTTCAAGGTAACTGCCAAATAGATTTCGTCTTGACTAATCAAGTAATCTAACTGAATATTTTTTTAAAGAGAAAATATTTACACTTTTGATTGCTTTTTTTTTTTTGTTCTCGAGTGACACGTGTTAGACTGGCATTGGCTAATTGTGCTCGACGCTCTCCCTCGCAGCTCATCAGTGTATAGGTGTGTGACGCTACACTCTCAGAAAAAAAGGTGTATTATTACACCCCTTGTCCCATATAATACACCCCAAAATTTCAATTCGACCGTACAGCGCCCCATAATCGAACAGGCGGCCCCAAAGTTTATGAGGGGCTTGATAGCCGTGTGGCACAACTTATTAAGATAGCTGATGTACGTATTATTGAATACAAAAAGAGATTATCTGAGTTTTCTTGGCCGTACTGCAAAAGCTCCGTGTTTTTTTCCCTTGGACTTTGATACGCAATTTAGCAATTTAACAAGTTATATCGCACCGTTATCAAGCCCCTCGTAAAATTTGGGGCCGTCTGTTCGACTATAGGGCGCTGTACGTCGAAATGAAGTTTTGGGGTGTATTATATGGGACAAAAGGGTGTAAGGTGATACCCTTTTTTTTTTAGAGTGTACGGGACAAGAACAAGCAAGGCAGATTCCGTAATTCGTTATGCGCTACGCACGCCGCCCTTCAGCAGTTTGGAAGGGGGTCATTTGGGGAAAAAAAACAACGTCCATAGTTACGTCCATCGAAAGCTTTAGGCCTCTTGTTGGTCCCTTTTTAGCTCGCGGCGAAGCCCTCTCCCGGCAGTAGAGCACGCGACGAGGAAGTCGTAAAGCATTCACACGGCCAGCATAATGGTAATCAGCCCGCGCATTGAGCGCATGCTTGTATGCCACGCGCAAAGTATTACCGACTGACTGATTCGCCGCCGACCATAACGGGGTATTCATACCGGGGAGAAATCCCTCCCTTCGCTCCCCCAGTCGTGTATCGCGTGGCAACGACGTCACGTGGATGCAGTTTTGTAGCTACTTGATTGGCTCCTTCGAATCGAATTGTTCACTGTGGTTGGACTTAAAGCGAAGTATAATTCCAAGCTTCTGACAATCGTGGCTTTCGAAATGGCTCTATTGTGGCGTAACCAAAACACCTAAAGCTTCGGTTCTACTGCTAATACAGTACAGTATGCAGGCAGGTTCTGAGGCTACTGTTTTTATTTAATGGTGGTCATGTCACATTAGTCATAAAAAATAAACAGTCAGAAGACATGATCGAATCATACAAGTGTATGAAGCAAACATGATTCGAACATGCCTGAGGCGCGTCCGCGGGTAGTCTTGTCACAATGTTTTCAGCGAACGCCGTCCCTCATGTATAATGTACGAGCAGTGACGAGCAGTGAGACACCTGCTGAAGACATGCCGAAACGAAAAGACCACAGGTCGTCTAGGAATGTGATAGGCGGCTTGTGTCCGTAAACGTGACAATTGTCTCTCTCTACTCACTTCTCGTACTCTGGCTTGAGTCCGCACTCCTGGTATCCGCCTGGGACCTCGTGGACTCCGACGAAGAGCAGCAGATGCGCGTTGAAGGCGAAGCTGCAGAGCGCAGTCGCCAGGATGGCCAGCTTCGGTCTCAGCCTCGTCGAGCCCAGCTGTAGCCGCCACAGCGGGTAGCGGATGGCCACGAAGCGCTCAGCCGTGAAGCCCACCGTCAGCCAAACGGAGCAGCAGCTGAAGGCCGACGATAGGAAGACCAGGATCTGACAGCCACCACGCCGGTACACCTGGGCAACGGGGGAACGTTGGCCTACTTAAGAAGTTTCATCGATACCTACCTGTAATGCTTACACGGAAAGAGAGTGAAAAAGAGTGAAGACGAGAGCTCGTAGGCTCGCCAGGGATCCGAGCTCTGATTGGGAGCGTCGTGGTATTGACACGAAGGATAACTGCCTTTGTCTCTAGCAACTGTCTTTCTTCAGTCAGAGCGAATATGACCCTCATCTGAGCCTCGTGTGGTGTCTCGCGTTCAAACGCAGGACGCTCTCGTTCGTCGCTCAAACTAGTTCGAAGGGTGAGTAGAAATAAATGCAGCTTCCCGTCTATTTCTATCCTTGAAATTAGAGCTCGCTGCTCTGACGTCCCCAGAGTCCTTTCTTGGTCTCCCTCAGCGTCTATTCCCATCTACCAGAAAGAACTGAAAGAAAGGTGAGAGCGCAGTTGATCTAGAAAATCAGCGCAAGAGACGCGGAAGGAGAAAGAACACACCCACCGTCTCTGACCAATGCCACCTATAATACTATGCCTGCAATTGACATCATCGTTAGTGGACCCGCCCAAGCGGAAAACGCGCCGAAGTTCGATAAGAATCGCCGCAAAGCAGCAGAGTCTTCCGTCGCGGCGTCGCCGCACTCCAGCGTCGTGCTCGATGTCAGCCGCATACAAGACTCGCTGGCCACAGTGCTGACACGAGCTAGACGGCACTGCGTGATGACGCCTGGGGAGGAAAGGCGCAGCCTTTGTTTTCTAGGTGGTATTGCTCTGACACAGTTAAGACGTCAATCCTCGACGCAAGAAGTTGAAAGGTATACAGCACCATTCGCCATCGACTAAAGAAGGCGAACCGGGGCCAATCCTTGAAAATACAAACACGGGGGGACAATATATGGACATAATCTTGCCTGGAACGCCGTTAGCATATACTTTTGAGCGTACTCTTATTATAATAAAGTCCGGCAGTGAGCTCCTTTCCTAAATATGTCATTTTAGTGGAAGGGTTATCTAGGGTGCTGTGCAGCATGAACTTCCCTTTTTGGGAGATGATACACTTCGAGACCGAGAAGGGGGAGACCGGGGGGGGGGGGGGTACCCCCCTTCTTCAGATATTAAAAGAAATTGGTTGGTGCATAGGTGTACTATGCAGCATAATGTTTTGTAGAACTACGGGTGGGTGGAACTTAAATTACTAAATTCTGGGGAATTAGCGCCATTGACTTCCCTGCGTGCTAGCCGGACACAAACAAATACAGACGACCAAAACCTCGCAAGGTGATTGGCTGAAGATGAAAAACTTATTGACAACTGTAAGATATAAATTGCGCGCCGGGAAACTGGTACACAATAGGAGCGTGTACGCTACGAAAATCAATGGACGGAAGTAACAAACATAACATGGCGAAGAACACATGGCCACACCTTACATCTCGTGATCACACACAAGGAGGGTTCCCTCATTTACCTAATGAATGAACATGTGAGCCAGGGGTAGCGCTCGGCTGACCAACGTTCGACCCCCCCCCTCCCCCGCGCGTCTCACACCTGTGCAAGGGCTGCGAAAAGCAAGTGAATGCGACAACCGACCAGGGGTGCAAATCTGGTCGCAAACGGAACCTTTCGAGTTGTGACGTATCGAGAAAGAAGGGGCGGAGCCTCAAACTAAAATGATTCTTGTTTGAGGCTCCGCCCCAACCTTCGGGTTCACGCACGCGGTCAGCCAGAATCTGACGATCCCCCTACGTCGCGATGACGTGTCCACGCAGTTGGGGCGCAGAAATCCCCGCATTTCCCCCTGTTCTTTTTGTTATCTTCTTTCTTTTCTCCGGGAGTTAAAACGAGCAAATAACAGAGAAAAGGCTACCTTCCGGGAAATGGAAGGAAACAGAGAAAAGTATTATTATCTTTTTATAAAATGCGAAATATTATTTCAATAATTATGATTAAAGTAAATTTAGCTAAGATATCTCAGCTTGTGTTCTCGAAGTCTTTCGCTACGGTCTTTGAAAACAAACATGGCGAAAACCGCGGTAACGACCTTGTCGTGTTTGTTCCTCGTTTGCGTCGTTGCTTTCCCTGCTTCTGCACGATACGGATGGCATTACGAGAAAAAAAAAATATTACGTGAAGGTGCGCTGCGACACCGATCATCCTTTGTGAAGCCGCCGTGAACATAAGCTGCAAATGAAATTTCCTGTTTGACTGTAAAGGAGACTTCAAATGGGTACAGAGCTGACGACGACTCTATGGTAGTATATGACAAGTCATGAGATCGACGCAGAGTGCAACGGTTGTGAGCATTCTGTGGATGATGCAGGAAAGTTTCTTCGGGCAGTTTTAATAATGCTTTGCTCCTTTGCTCACTGCAGTGATTATGCCGGTATAATCTACATAAGCCATGCTCTTCTCTTTCGGCGCTGAAGAAATGCACGCGAAGGCATAATCTCGGGCAGTCTTTTTTACTTATTTTTATTTGCAGAATAGCTCGTGCAAGAAAAAAACGGCTTTTACGTTTTTACACGTCCCTACATAGGTACCTCGCTTTCCCATTGGCTTCATTGCGCGTGACGATTCAACGCCATTTGCCATGGAAACGTTCGTGAAGCTAGAAAGCCTCTGTTTGCCGCTAACAGTCATTTTTCGAGTTCGGGTTGTGACGACAAAATGACGTAAGAACAAGAATGCACGGGACTATTTGCATTGTTTTAACTCGACAACCGTACCCTTGGCGAGTTCAACTCGAAAGAACATGGCCGCGATGCTCGTCGGATCGACCGCGGCTGGGGTTTGACATGCGATCGATCACTTGATCAACGCGCACACGAATGCTTTCGTGCTGTTGGATGAGCCCATTCGGCGGCAGGACCGGGTCGAAGAGCACAGTGAGCTGGCTTTTAACGTCTCCGATGTAACGCTTGGCGAGATGCAAGACTTGGCTCCTATTTGTGCCGGTGTTAGGAAGCTTGAAAGTGGTGGTGTTGTTGTGGCTCGTACGGTTACGTTGCTGAGGTTATGAAGACGGTAATAGACCTCCATTCAGCGTTGCCGTGCATTAAGATTCAAAACCTCACCTTGACACAAAGGGAACCACGTTTCCGCGAGCACGGAGGCAGCAGCCAACGGTCCGAGAAAGAATTGTGCCGCCGCCACGACCGCCAGCGATCGCCCCAACAGCAAAACAACAAACGACAAGCTCATTGAGGTTAGTGTAGTGCTGACTACTGATTCATCAGACGACAAAGGTGAATGATGCAAAAAGCAACGTAAGTTTGCCAGCGTTTTGCAAAACGAATTCGTTCCGTTGAAAATTTAATTTGTGGAATTCGTTAACGCCTTAAAAGTTTGACGGGGACCGCATTGTGAACGCAGGCTTCACACAAGTGTTTTCTACAGTGTGTGCTTTGGCTGCATGCATATAAAGACAAAAACACTGCCTATATGGTGCATAAAATAAAAAAAATTTTGTTTATCTTGATAATGCTGACTATCTATTGAGTGCTGTTGATAGTAGTGGCGTAGCCAGGAACTTCTAAGGGGGTGAGGATGGAGGGGGGTTGAGGTGGCTGGGTTGTTCATGACTTGGCGTGCGGGGAGGTTGGTGTCGGAATGTGTGTGTATATTCTAGGGCCCGCCAGATTTGATGAGGGAAGGAGCGAAGCCCCATAAACCCCCCCCCCCCCCTGGCTTTGCCACATAAGGAGAGCGTCCTACATTCTCAGGCTGCTATAAGCATGTGCATAGCCACTGAGCTCGTACCACAATGGCAAGATAGTTGCTGACATTCTTCACGTTACGTAGCAGTTCTTTCTTTAGTACATATGCTCGCTTTTCCTTCACACATCTACTCTGCCTCCGCTTGTCGTTTATGCTTGATGGTGATAAGCCAACAGTGCGTATTTGCTCTGCATCACAAGCAAATTTCAAAAGTCCAGCTCACACTACTCTTTAATTTCAATGAGTTACTGTCACTTTTGAAACGACAATCTATTTAATTGCTATAATAACCTTTACATTAAACACACGTGTGTTGAATGCAGGACAATTCTATTTTTATTGTTTTTCTTGGTCACGAAGATGACAACCATCCACCAGACACTGGCTAAATTTCTCGTCTACAGTGGGTAACAATGTTACCATACTCTGTCAGACTAAACTGCTGCAGTCTATACAAGTAACGATTCATTTTAGGACAGACCTGTTGGTAGTTTTTTGCAGGGCATCGAAACGTGTTCTTACGACTTTCCGATGACTGACTTGCAATTCCAGCAACTTGGCGTGAAAAGGTAAATTATCTAATTGATACAACAAAATGCCATCAGCAACCGATCCAGATTTTATTGCGTGATTGACAGTAGCTACAGACCGCAACAAATTGTCAACTAAAGACATAGGTACTAAGCGTACATTAACTTCGAAGCGGTAGAAACCCTGAAGTTTAAACGTCAACTTACCACCATGTTGTTAATGGCAAAATGGTGTTTGCGGCAAAGTGTTGGAGTCCTTCAAAATGGTGACGGTCTCCTACAAACCGATGATGACGGTGACGAAGGTTTAGTTGCAGTCTAAGTTTAGTCAACGCACCCGACGACGTCGGTGTGCTTGTCATGGTGGCGACGAAAGCCTTCTTTCGCACATGCCTCAGCTGCCTCGGTCCGGGGTTTTGTCGACCCAACCGTCTCTTCCCAGCCGGTTGACAGCGATACTCACGACGGCCGTCACGGCTCTGATCACCATCCACTTGGCATTAGCTATGCGATCATCGGGAGCAACCGTGCCCTTGTAGTTCCACGTTGCGAAAAATCTCAGTGCGATTCAATTAGTAGCTGCTGCTCGACGGTAATCATCTCTCATCGTCGAAGTCTCTCGTTGTCACACTGCGATCACACGGTGCTTTTCGACAAGTGGTATTGTAGTCAGAAACAGTCGTCGTGCATCGCGAAGGGAACCGGGTGCTCGCGGAAAACCCGTCATTGTACGCGTTGGTCAAGCCATCGTTGAGCAACTAGCGTCGCCGCCATTTTCTACGCTCTAGAATCCTGCCCAAAGCTTGTTCCCCTTCGTGCAATAGAAGGAGAGGTTGGCTTGCACTGCGCAAGCGCGCCTGCTCGACAGAGACGTTGAAAGCCCAGAGCACGTCCTTGTAGCGCCTACACCCGTACTAGCTCGCACTTATAGTGAAACAGAGAGTAGGGTGTGTCGAGTAATACCGCAGTTAATCTAGTTACGCGACTTCCGCTATGTGCTACGTAGGTCGGACGTGGTCATACGTCACTTTGTCGTCACGGTCCGAACTCGAAGAGCGACAGTTACGGCAAACGGTTGCTTTCGTGTTTCGCGAACGTTCCCATGGGAACCGCGTAGAATAATCACGCGGGCTGTGGCCAATAGGAGCGCGCGGTTCGTAGGGGGGAGGAGTTTTCGAGAAACACGAACTTGACCGTTTGTGACCAGAATAGCACTCCAGACGGACGTAGCGACAAGACTATAGCCTGAGGAAATCTTCCTCACCCCACCAAAAGATATCGGAGTCTAGGTGGCTCAGCAGTGTACCCCGCAATAAAGCAACTGTATGTGCTCCGCCTTGAAGAGCAGCGTACCGCAATGGTGCTTCCAGGGCGGCCATGTTGGATCGAAAGCCGCATTGCGGGAAGCGACCGTCGCATCTGCAAAAGCGTCGGATGCGCGAGCTACAAGATCGTTCTGCGTGTCGTCTTCCCAGACCTTCAAAACATATTTTAAAACATTGCTCGCGTGATAAAACAACGCGATTATACTGTACCTTGTGGCTACATATAATGTTGAATGTAAAAAGAACCTTCCAGTTTGTTCAATTTTAGTATAGGATGTCTATTTCGCAAACGCAGAGCGAGAAACATGACCTGTCCGAAACTTGGCACCTGCAAGGTCGCTTTTCCGCAAGATCATCGGATCCAGTTCTGTGAACTCACGGTCCACGGACGTCCACGGAAAGGCGTTTGTCCCATCCTTCTGCTCAAGAGTGGTCCGGGCAACGCAGAGCTCCTCAACGACTCGAGCTGGTGGAACTTTGCGCATTTCGAGGTCTAGTGACGCCTGTCTCAACTCCTCATGGCAAACCACCACCGCTTGGTAAAAGGGTGGTGCTCTGCACTCGGTTAAAGGTTACCCAACCGTGCAAGGAAAAAGCACTCGGCGCGAGGGCCCTAGACAATAAAGAGCCAGAAACCGTGCAGGATGGACTGTTTCATCTAACACCCCAAGAACAGTGCAGAGGGAGAGCAGGAGGCAGGCAGTGTCGACGCAGGGCATGCCCTTGCCGACTAGTGACGTGGGAAGGAGGAGTACCGACCTGGTCATTAGCTCAGTGCCCCTGCTCCAGTAAAACTGGAAGAGACATGAGGAAACCCGCCGGGTGAACCGGGGACGGGGAAGTGCAACGTGAGCGCCATAGAAAACTTGCCCACAAAACGTAGCTCTTACTAGGTAAGCTCTGTCGCGAAGGGAACGCGTAAAGGTGCCCGCAACAGCAACCTGACTTTCAGGCGCGGAGGCTGCACCCCCCCCCCCTCCCCCTCCCCCTTCCCCCCCCCCCCCCCCCCCCCCCCCCCCCCCGCCCCACGTGCGGCATGCCACTCCACGAGAGTTCAAAAGCACGCCGACACCCCAAAGCTCGTTCACGACCTGGATGCCCGCAGGTGAAGTGGGAGGGGAACGTCACAACCCTTCCAAAAATAACGGTTTGAAGTCAATCCGGAAAACTAAATTTGGTTTAAAATCAATCCGGAGACTGTCCGAGAAGAGACACGAGGTTTGCACAAACCGGGATTTTTCGACTCCGGTTTAAAGTCAAACCGTAGAAAATCTAGATAGACAATCTCCGGTTTGTACGAAAACCTGGGGAGACAATCTCCGAATTGAACAAAGCGGACATTGACAACTCCGGTTAAAGAGCGAACCGGAGAAATTCCGGACGGACGACCCCCGTTTGCACAAACCGGATGTCAACAACTCAAGTTCGAAAGCAATCTGGAGAATGTTTGGACTAAAATCTCCGGTTTCCAGAAACGGTTCTTTGCCAAATTCAGTTGAAGAAAAAAAAATAACTGGACAAGTCTGAACAAATAACATTCAGATCGCACACCCCAAACATTGACAAGTCCGGTTGTTGGAACTAATGCAACTAGGGACGAACTGCGTGAGGATGCAGCTAATTAATGCAAATTGACAGACGGCGCCGAAGCGGAATATCACGGCGTAATCGTCCCTCTTTCTTTTTACGAGCCATCGAAAAAAAAAAGAAGAAAAAAGTGAACATTGTGAATGTCTTCTGCGTTTCGTTCCGATTCTCAATAGACCGACACGCGCCGCCTCTCTGTTTACCTACACGACCGGAAGGCCGCGTATACGGAGAAGCTCAGTGGGCAGAAACGGCGAGGCTCTCCATGTTTTGGACATTGCGTTCTATGGCGTACGCTCATTGTTGATGTTGTAGAGACGCTTCTAACTTTATTTGTACGTCGTATTTCCTGCCAACGTATGTCGTAAGTTATGCCCAACTATTTGAGCTCGCTACTCGAGCCTAAACGGCAGCGGTATCGAGACAACGTGTGCTTGGAGTACGTTGTCTTCGCCGATCTGTATCTCGTAAACAAGGCCTGTTGGAGTTCCAACGTGAAGGGGCTGCCACGGACGTCGACGGCTAACGCCGTCGTTTATGTAGTTTTTCGACAAGCCAGTTGACGGCCGACACGGTGCAGGTCTACAACTCGCTCAAGGCCTGCAATTACTTCGAGCCGCTTTCCGCGCTGCCGGCGGGATCAGCAGACATGGGTCTGCTGAAGTGTATTTATTAATTGATTAACTGCACAGAGCGTCTTTAAGTCAAGTTATAATATTTTCCTTACCTTCATTACCACAAGGTATGACAAGCGGTAACGCTTTGTCCGTTCTGCAGTGTTGGCGGTAAAGCCTTACAAGTAACGCCGTCACCGGGAACGAGTTAATTTTTTCAGTAACGTAGTAACCTACTCGTTACTTCTTCAAAACAGTAACGTGTAACGTACTTACGTTACTATTTCAACTAACGTGTAACGTAGTTACGTTACTCGTTACTACTTTCCGAATTTTAAAAAAATTACACTTCAAACTTTTCTGTGCTTTAAGGCGTGAATAAGCCATGTGAACTTTTGTTAAGTTTCCGTCGTTTTTTCTTGTGAGTGTATAGGTGAAACCGTAAAGATAAATATAGTAATTATGTTCAGTTTCTATATGGATATAATATTTCTCGAAATATGAGCTTGTACGAAAAATAAGCTGTACCATGAAAACAGTAAAACCAGTTAAATCATAGTTAAAAAAGTAACGCACAACTAACCTGCGCTACTTTTTACTGGTACTGGTAACGTGTTCCTTTCATTCCGATGTAACGTAGGTTGTTAAGCTTTACTTTATTTGGAAATGACGAGCAACGTATTTCGTTACTTTCTTCGGTAACGCCTACAACACGGCGGCTCTGTCGCCTGTCTCCTTCCGCTTGGTAGCACAGGCGTAGCGAGCCTCCGACTAGCGCTTGGCCGGCGCTTTGTGCGCGAACACCGTGGGAACAAAATCCCGGTGGTGTCGATTAGACCACGGTTTTCATGCACATAAGCAAGCCTCAGGACGGAGATTGAAATGGAAGCCAGACTTGCCTTCAAGAAATTGCTTGCCGCACAAACGGTCGTTCGCGCGAGGCGATCATTCTTTTCGACCTACGGATATTATCCACCTTCAGCGCCTTTCAGAGTCTGCCGGGAACTTGTGGAAACTCACCCTGCTACTTTTTCTGTACCTTCCGCCGCAATTAATGGCCACACAACTTTGCGGCATGTTGAAATGCAATGACGCCTAGGCGAAACGTGCGCCCTTCTGCCCGCACCACCCGGCTCCGGCGCGATCGCAGCGCCGCTGCAGCTCCGTGAAGTCAAGCCCGCGTGTCGGTCTATAGACACTGCGTGATAAATGTGTCTAGCTGTCAAATGATGCTATACCAACCGCGGATATAGCTACCACAACCGATGGTGACATACCCGCTACCATCGCTTGGAGGCGGGTATGTCGACGGGTCATTTTTGGTTTCCGTAAATTACAAACTGCATTTGTTTCTTCTCTGATCTAAAATACTGAGCAAAAACTACCTTTATAAGTATTTAAAACTGTTCGCGCCACTTATATTTTGTATTTGGACTAAAGAGAAGCTTTCAGCGGCTCTGACCAGTAGTAAGCCCAGGATTAAAGACTTCACAATTTGCGCGCTTTCGGCACCGCGGGTCGACCCCGTAGTTGAAGGAGGTTTCCGCGTCGTCCCGTTAAAATACGATGCACTGATATTTAGTTACCCTCTCCGTGCCCACCGGCTTGCCCGAACCTCAAGAGACGTGGAAGCCGCAAAAAAGGTACACGCTTATATATGATTGTCGGGTCTCTTTAAGCTGAGACTGCAGCCAATGGCAATAGCAGGAGAGCTCGAGGTCACTGATTTGTCGCGTTCTTCCGCACAAAGATCGCTGATCGTAGAACAGCGATGCTAGATTACCTCAGTTGTCGTACTCCAGCGGTAAAGGGTCCCCATCTCTCACTTCAGTCCGTCTCCCGTTGTTCGGAGCGCCATCTAGATTTTAATTTCATAACTCTGTGTTCCATAATATACGGCGGAACGCCATCTAGACGCTGTACTTTGAAAGGTGCGTATTCAATAGAATACACTGCAGTTAGCATAGGAGCTGTCCGGCGCGTCGAATAACGGGAGGTGAGTCGTGGTGAGGCGACTCGCCGCTGCTCACGCAAACGGTGTCTATGAGCAGTTTACAAATAGCTAATCTTATAATGTTTCCCTAGAAGAGGAGGACGGCGACAAAGTGCGAGTAAGTGGACGGGCTTCTCATCAATCCTGCTCTTATGCCAATTAACTCCGTGTTAATTTACAGTTACCGCGGTATAATTGATACCAAAGTGTGCGCGAAGGTGCGGGGCATCGACCGGTAGCAGTTTTGACCAAGCGCTACGTGATTTTCTTGATTTACGAGGACCTTCCTCTGGTGCGGTGCGGACTTTTCGGTAAGCCTAACGTAGGCCTACCACCAGGAAAGCCACCGGTAGCGACGGGCCCGGCCGTTAGGCATAGTTCGGCGACGAGTGCGACCAAGATGGCGTCCAAAATGGAAGTGGCCACGTCGATGGGTGACAACATGGCGTCAACGCTGAGCATCGGCAATTTTGGTGGGTGCACGTACATCGAAGTTCACGGAGAGGACATTACACCGGAAGAAGCCGAAGGCTGGCCGACCTCCGGCAAGCGCATCAAGCAGATTATTGCCGGCGAGAAAAACGGGGAGTCCGCCGCCATTACTCGCCAGCCTAGACCCAAGGCCAGGGCTAGCTTCGCTAAGAGAGTTGCAGCTTCGGTAACGAAAGCGGCGAGAATGCCGATATACATGCCGAAAGAAGACACCAAGATAGTCATGAGACCACGTGGCGGTCTCAACGTAGGCAGAACGAAGGTTTGAATTATCATGTCGGTCGTCATGACGGCGGCTCGAGTAACGAAGGAAGAAGCCAAAGCAGACACCATCTGCGTGAACGCGCAGCAAAACATCATCGTGGTCAGCACCCCGGACGAGAGGCGCGCCAAGCTGTACTCTAAGGTCAAAGCCTTTAACATAAGTGGCAGGACATAGGAAGTGAGCGCCTACCGAACGGCGCCGGACGGCACGGTCAAGGGAGTCATCCGAGGCATAGCCGTAGATGACACCCCGGAAGAGGTAGCCGAAAACATCGTGAACCCGTACAACCCCCTAGCGGTGGAGGCGCACGGAATCGGCAATACAACCATGGTGATAGTACTGATCGCAGGACAGAAAGTACCAAACTACGTCAAGTATTGCTCGATATTAGTCAGGTGCGGGCTTTACCGCAAGCACTTTAACGTGTGCAAACAATGAGGCAGGGTCGGCCATAGAAGAGACGTATGCCCGAATCCCAACACCAGAGTGTGCTTCGGCTGCGGAATCGCGAATCCCACCGAGGGTCACGAACGCGAATGCAAGCCCAAGTGCAGGCTCTGCGGGGACAGCATCCAACGGGCGAGAGGGAATGCAAAAACAAGTACAAGATGCCGTACGTGGTCAAGAAACGGCAAAGGGAACGCAAGATGGAAGCCATGCAGCAACAACCGGATCCGGAAAGCTGTCTAGAGACCCCGCGGGGATTCGAGGCAGCGCGACAGCGGCCGCAAAAGGAACCACAGCAAGAGAGGCAGGAGCGCCAGCCGCCGCAGACCGTCGCAGGCGAGGGAGAGAGCCACCTGGGCCGACGCAGTCACGGTAAACATGGCAGAGACGAGACAAACATCAGCGCAAAACACCGAGAAGAAGATCCAAGAAAAGAATGGGGTGGTGAAAGCCCTGAGAGACGAGAACGAGAAGATAAAGCGGAAAATCGCCGAACAGGACGCAGCCATCAAGGAAATCAACGAGAAGCTAACGACATTAATTGCAAAACAGCAGCAAAAGCAGCAGCAGCTGCCGAAGCCCGCACAAGAGAGGAAACAAGAAGAGATGACCGCGGATGGAATCAGAGGTCGAGGTGGACCCGAGAACCACGAAAGCGGCGGGATCGGCTCCCAAGAGGAGAGCCACAGAGGGCGCCAAGGAACGAAAGATAACGGAGAGAATCGAAAAGCAGGACGACGACTCGACCATCTTAAGGCGACCAGCAAGGTAACTAACGAACGCCTCACCGCGCTCGAGCAAACGGTTCAGCAGATGACAACGAACGTACAGAGCACAATCCAGAACATGATAGCGCAGATGCAAGCACAGCTGCAGGCGCACATACAGGCGCAAATGCAAAGTATGGAAGCACAGATCATCGCCAAACTGCAGCAATCATGGACGGGACAGCACGTACAGCAGCAACCACACAGCCAGTGAGAGACCTCTTGGTCTGGCACTGGAACTGTAATGGCTTTACCGGCAAGAAAGCGGTGCTGCAGCAACACTTGAAGCACCTAACGAGGAAACCAGACGTCATAATGATTCAAGAAACACTCAGCGAAAAGACGCCGAGACTCCCGTGCTACCGGTCGCACGACAGCCCGCCGAGCACAAGGGACGCGTCCAAGGGCAAGGGCAGAGGGGTCTGCACCTTCGTTAGGAAAGGGACCACCTTCATCGAACACGAACTGATCAGCAAAAGCGCCATCGAACACTGCACGGATGAAATAATCGCGGGCCGGAAGAGGAAGGAAGGAAGGAGAGCACTTTCCTGGTGAACGTCTACAGCAATCCGTCTCACGGACAACAGAAGTTCAAGGCACTATTCCGCAACGCGAGTAGAGTCGCGGGGAACAATACGCTCGTAGTGTGCGGATACTTTAACGCTCCGAACCAAGACTGGGGCTACCAAAGAACGACGGTCAAGGGGAGGGAGCTGATGCAAGATGCCACCGACGTGGGACCGAACCTAAACATGGATCCAGCCTTTCCCACCAGGATCGGCACATCGGTTACGAGAGACACCATTCCGGATCTTACCTTCGTCAAACCCGACGGAAGATCGAGAGAAGCGGAATGGAGAAACACGGGCCAAGAGCTAGGCAGTGATCACTACATTGTAGAGGTCGTCGTACCGCTCAAAGGACAAGGCAATACCGGCATAAGGAAGCATCGCATTACGGACTGGGATGCCTTTCGACCGGCACTACCCGCGGTACAACTGGACCTTACGGATATCGAGCAATGGGCGGCTAACGTCGTGGAGACGACGGAAAGAGCCACCAAAGAGCTGGAGACGGACGAACGGACAGAGAAGATGGACAGTCGGCTGGCCCACGGTGGCTCTGCAAGGATGACGGCCACAAACCCGTTCCTCTTTTTCATGCAGGTGCTGACCACATTTTCGCTTGGTCATCTTACGGAGGACCATCGATATTCTGCCTTTCGTGACGAACGCTTTACTGTGATAGACGCCCCAACAGCGAAGCTGCTGCCGACGTCGTACCATGGACTGGATACTTCTGTGCAACTACGTTTCCTCGGCTATCTTCACAAATCGTCAACGCCATCGACGGATGCATCAACGGCACTGGATCGTATAAAGGCGATTCCCCGGGAACATACGCTTCGTGGGCACGGTGGCTCTGCAAGGATGACGGCCACAAACCCGTTCCTGTTTTTCATGCAGGTGCTGACCACATTTTCGCTTGGTCATCTTACGGAGGACCATTGATATTCTGCCTTTCGTGACGAACGCTTTACTGTGATAGACGCCCCAACAGCGAAGCTGCTGCCGACGTCGTACCATGGACTGGATACTTCTGTGCAACTACGTTTCCTCGGCTATCTTCACAAATTGTCAACGCCATCGACGGATGCATCAACGGCACTGGATCGCATAAAGGCGATTCCCCGGGAACATACGCTTCGTGGGCACGGTGGCTCTGCAAGGATGACGGCCACAAACCCGTTCCTGTTTTTCATGCAGGTAAGAGGGGGTCACACATCTTCGATTAGAAGTGACGACGTTTGCTTAGTCCTGCTGCCGTGCCCACGGAGCCAACTTGCTGTTTTGTGCACTGTTTTCAAACTGTTGAAAAAGCTTCTTATGCTCTGCGGAGACGTTGAGAGCAACCCCGGCCCTATTACCCTTGAGGATGTAATGATTAAGCTGAACGCAATAGGTAGCGAGCTCAATGAAATCAAAACAAACCAACAAACCACGTCGATTAGGTTAGACAATATTGAAGCCAGCCTCAAAGAGCTAGGAATGATGCAAAAAAAACTTGATACTTGCGTCGCGAATGTACAGCCTCTGGAAACCAGTCTAAACGACCTCAAACTCAAGTATGACGACTTAGATAACCGTAGTCGTAGGAACAACTTAATAATTTATGGAATTGAAGAATCTGGACGCAATGACAGCAGCACTCTTGAAGCAAGGGTAATGAAAAAAATAATAGAAGATCGCTTGCAGCTACAACCTGTACCTATCGAAAGAATTCACCGCATCGGTAAATTCTCGCTTGAAAA